GTTGGGGGGGGGGGGGGGGTGAAACCTTCCCTGCCTCCCTGGGGCAGCGGGGAAGGTTCCAGGTAGATTTTTGCCGTTTCATTCACAGCGGGGCACAACCCTCGGGGTAATTATCAATTTTCCCCTCCCGTCACAGGGGCTAATTCCAGGAGCCTTCGCTCCGGGGATAATTAGGAGGTTAGGGGATACGGCATCCCGTTTCCGGCTAATTTCGGTGGGAATTGGGGGGGGACGAAGCTAAATACGGGTATTTTTAAAGCTCAGGGCCTGTCTATCCCGAGAGCGGAGCAGGATTATGTACCCTGGGGTAGCTCCCCGCAGGGCCACGTTGTTATAATCGGCGCTTTACGTTCCCCTCAACAGGTCCTGCCGCCCCGCAGTCAGGCAGGAGCGGGCAGCTGGTCCGCGGGAGCTGCAAGACCCGGATGCATCGCTGTTCCTCCTCCTCCTCCTCCCCTCGCTTTCAGAGCCGCTGCCGGATTTTTCCGCCATCCGGCAGGAACGCTGAATTGGGAAGCCGCGGTTGGCGGCGGTTCCTACAACTACCGGCCCCACGGCACCCAAAAGAAAAAAAAAAAAGCAGGCAGCCGCTGCCCGACGCGACCTACGGAGGGGACCAGAAGGGGAACAGATGCCGTTTGCGAACAGTCCGGCAGCTCAACCTGGAACCGCAGCGCGAAAACTCGCGCCGGCAACAGGCGGGCAGCTGCCCGCGGCTCAAGGATAGACGCTCTCGGCGCTAACGCAATCGGAATAAAAGAGCAATTAGTGAGGAGGCTTAATTATCAGTCAGCGAGCCCCTTCTCCTCCGACCTTTCTCTCCCCCCGCCGCACGTACTGCGTCGAACTGGGTGAAGAACTCTTCGGGCTTGCTCTCCACGCTCTCGGGGTCAGCTTTCACGTCCACCATGGGATTGAGGTTCTGCGCCCGCTCCAGCGAGGCTTCGGCTCTGTTGCGGCCCAAGGAACCGACGGGGATGAGGAACTGAGCTCGCGTGTCCTCTTGGGAAACCTGAAACGGGGGAAAACGGAAGAGATGAGTCTTCCCGTGGACTCAAGCAAGGCGGGAAAAGCCCCCGGGGAGAAGTACAGCGGGCGCTTCGCAAGCGGGAACTCAACGCCTGGAAGGGAACTGCTAAGCGGTGCCATCCTGGCCGCAGGAAAACTCATCGCGAGATAACCAGAGGGGGGGGAAAGAAAAAAAAAAAAAAAAAATCAAGAGAGTGCATGGAGGAGAAATCTCTGGTTATTTTGCGCTATTCTTCAGTCCCCCGCAGCTTCGTAGCTCGCCTTTCCCCGCTCCCGAGCTCGCAGCTCCCTCTTGCGCCCGCGGAGACGCCGCGCCGTGACCTAGAGGCCACGCTCGTGTGAGAAACATGTTCAGCCGGAGCCGTTTGCCGCAGGGCACAAAGCTCCGGATCGGGAATTAAAACCCGCCGCAGAGTCCGTTCAGGGGTTCCGGGGTCCACGAGGCTCGTGGCAGGAGCTTTGAGCCCCACATCTGCTTCACACACGCCTGGCCAGCCCCAGATAAGCACGGGAAGGGGCCGTCCCGACGGAGATAGACGGGAGAGGGCTGGGTGGAGAGCTGCTAACGCCAAAAGCCACGCGTCCCCAGAAATAAGCTGACTTCTCAGAGCGGGGTGCAGCACCCGAGGACGTCCAGAAAGCAAGAGGGGAGGCAGCGGTTCAGCCCCCCCAGCTCGAGAGCGGGTGGAGGAGGGCAACCTGGCATTTAGCTGCCACGCGAACGACTGGAAACGCAAACTCTACGTGCCCCAAAATGGAATAATTTCACCCCAAGCAGAATATTTATTCCAAAAAAGCAGCGAGCGAGTCCTCCAGCGCTGGCACCGTACCGCATCGGGGCCGGGGAGGGGTGGGTCTGGGAGCTTTGCTAACCCCCAGCGCCGCAGCCGAGAGAAGCTGCAAGCTCCTCACCTGCTGATGGTCCAGCATGGTCAAGCCTTTGACTCCTGCCAAGATGAGATTCTTCGCCACTTCTGCTCCGAGACCCTTCATCCCCACCAGCAGCACCCGGGAAGCTCGTAACCTGCGGCAGAAACACTCGGTCAGCGTTAACGGCTCGGCTGGAGCGTCCCCCGAGGGGTTGGGGTGAAGGGGAATCGGCACTCGGAGGGAAAACACGGCGGATAAATACGGCTGGACAGGAATGCCGCGCTCCTCGGCATCCCTGCCTGGGGAAAAGCGGGTTTAAGACAATTTAGAAGCAAAGAGAGAAGCACGCAGGCTTGTCAGGAGCGGGTAATTCAGGAAAATTCACAGCAAAAAAGAGCATTTGCAGCTTTGGAAGAGGGAATAACACCGAAGTCTTGCTCTGCTTTTCAGCGAACACGGTGCGGGGTGGGGGTTCACTACAACGCGCACTTCGGGGTTCCTAATAGCCCCCCCAAAAAGGGCCGGAGCTCCTCCTTAAGCTGCACCGGGATGCAGATAAAATGGGAAATTAAGAAGTTTTTGTGTATGTTTATTCCAGCACAAAACCGTGCGTGCAAGTTTCACGTCTTCCGAATAACTGACCAATGTGTTTTCCTCGCCTTTTATCATTTAGGTATTTCCCCCCATCCCTTGGAAGTCTGTTATTGATTAGTCTGTATCGGCTTTCCGACAAAATCAGCACCGAGCGACAATCCGGGCTGTTAAACAGAGAGACCCCTGCTTTTTTGGCCTATTTTCACACTCGTTTTTATCTGCGTCCAGCGACATCGTGATGTTCATCTTCATATTTTGGGGTTGTTCCACCTTCTCCCGAACAAACCCCCTCGCTGCTTCCCGGGGAACACCTAAGAAATTGGAAACGAGCAGAAATCTGGACAGGCTGCAGAAAAGGACCACAAAAAATAACTTGAAAGCTGACAAAAAAAGCCCTTATAGAGAAAACGGGGGCTGAGCAAGAGGGTTTCTAGCAGGGAAAGACCCAGGAACCGGCGGTGGGAGCAGATGCTTTGCAATTCCAGCTGGGAACGCATCAGAAACCGTTTATCTCCACACACACACACACAGCTTCAACTCCTGGAGGCACAAATTTCACTCAGACATGCACTACAGCAAGTTTGGCTAAGCCCGAGTTTTGCAGGAGGTCGGGCAGAGACCCCACAGACCCCTATAGACCCTATATGCTTACGTACCCACTGCCGACCTCTCTCTGAAGCCCCTACAAAGCTTCTGAGGACCCTCCGCAGCGGCTACAGTCACCACAGAAGCCCCTACAGGGCTCTCCCGCACGCTGCAGGGTCCCCATAGACCCCCACATGCTCCTGTAGGGCCCCCCACATGCTCCTATAGGGCCCCACTCACATTGCAGGGCCACTCCAGGCCCCTATAGGGCCCCCCCGCCACCTCCTCCAAGGCCCCCATAAGCCCCTCCAAAGAGCCCCTCACATTGCAGGGCCCCCATAAGCCCCTCCAACACCCCCCTCACATTGCAGGGCCCCCCTCACATTGCCTCCAGTCGGTCCCCCCCACCCCCCACACCTTCACATTGCAGGCCCGCCCCGC